ACTTTTTACAGATTTACTCAGTAGTAATGTGTTAAGGTTCCTCCTCCTAACCAGAGCTCTGTACTGGTAAGATGAATATTTGAGGTATAGTTCTCTGAACCATTTATGCTGTTGGGAATGCTGTGGCTGCATGGTATTGTTACATAGAAGGCTGGTGAGAGGTCACTTTCCACAGTGACATGTGGAAAGTCCATTCAAAGCCCTTTCTCAGCATAGGTAATTAGTGATGTCACCACATGTATCTGAGGGCAAGGTACAAGTGTTCATGGTCTTTTTCTTTTTGTTAGGAAACAGATGAGTTTTCTAATAGCAGCACACTGCCCTGGGTGAGCGTTGTTATCTCTGTGGGTGTTGATCTTTGCAGTGCTGTGGGGTTGTGGTCTCTAATTGCTGTAGTTTGCTGTTCAGTGAAGATATTAGGAAGCTGGACATCACCCTTGAGCTTCCATGGGTCAGTATTTTGTCAGGTTGGTGAGATGGAGTCATGGGTTTTTAAAGGATTTTTTTATTTTTGTTTTTAATTGTATGTACATAATGTATATTTGTCTGTAGGTTTGTGCATATGTAAGTGCCTTAGGCCAGAAGAGGGTGTCGGGTACTGTGATTTAGTTTTAGTTTTTTTGTCAGTTTTAACACAAGCTACAAGAGGGAACCTCACTTGAGAAAATGCCTCCATCAGACTGGCCTGTGAGCAAGGCTGTGGGGCATTTTCTGGATTGGTGATTGATGTGAAAGGACCCAGTCCATTGTGGGCGCTGCCTTCCCTGGGCCCATGGTCCTAGGGTGTATAGGAGAGCAAACTGAATAAGCCATGTAGAGACAGCCAGTTAGCGATGTTCCTCTATGACTTCTGTTTCAGATCCCGCCTCTGGGTTCTTTCCCTGACTTCCTTTAATGCTGTACACTGGAATAGACCTTTCCCTCCCTGGGTTTCTTTGGGTAGTGACGTTTCTCACAGCAGTAGACATCCCTGCTGAGCTAGGAACTGGAGTTACCGGCAGTCATGAGCTGTCCAGCTTGGGTGCTGTGAGTGGGACTTGGGTCTTATGCAAGAACAGGACAGTTGTGACCACAGGGCTGTCTCCATGGCCCTGCAATCATGTGTCATAAAGAATGAGGTCTTGTGGTGAAGTCGCTTTTAGCTTGCCGATTAAAGTCCAGCCAAAGAACCCAACTTACCTACTTCCTTCATAGACATAAATTCTTACTCACGAATACTTTCTAATTAAATAACCTATTTTGTTATTTTCTGACTATATAGATATATATTCATATTTGAAAGCTATGAAAACAAAATACACAAGTAACTTTCTATAATTATTCTTCTTAGTCCGATGGTTCTGAACCAGGTGCAACATTTGCCTTACAGAAACGTGTAACAGTGTGTAGCGATGCTTTGATTTTTCATAGCTGGGAATGGGGTGGTACCTGTGTCTCACAGGGAAAAGGCTGCTCTGCACACCCTACAGTGCACAGCAGAGCCCCACCAATAAACAGATATCTGGTCTAAAACATCACTAGTGGCGAGATTAAGAAACCATGACTTAGATCTTCAAAACTGAGCTATGATTTCTTCATCTTGCACCAGCCTGAAACTCACTATGCAGACCAAGCTGGCTTCAGACGGCAGTGGTCCTCCTGCCCCTGCCCACCAAGTTCTGAGGTTATACAATTGCAATACCATATTTCAATCTGGCTTGTTACTCATATTTACAAATACTTATTATGCCATCCTTTATGATTTATAAACTCCCATACCAAATTCCTCTTTTAAAGTAATATAAATTTCCAAGTTGCTATCATCCAACTTAAACAGTTTTCAACTCACAAGAGATTCTATCTTTTCTCACACCCTTCCATATTTTGAAGAAACTACCCCAAATATATTTTCAGCCATGCATATTTTAGTTTGGATCCACAATAGGCAAAGATTCTTTGTAAAGCAGTTTTAATAACCATTACGTAATATTCTGTCCTGTAGCTGTATTTAGTAGCCTGTTGTTTGGGGGCTATTTCTAATTTACCCTTACAATTTCTTGTTTTGTTTGTTTGTTTCTTCCATCTGTCCTGTGTGTGTGTGTGTGTGTGTGTGTGTGTGTGTGCATGCGTGCGTGCGTGCGTGCCTGTATCTGTTTTCCTGTACTCTTCACAAGGAACACAGCCCTTGTTCTACAGGTGAAATAGAATGTGTGCAAACTAAGCAAGCAAGAATGAGCACAAGACCCTTAATTTCATTAAACGTTGGGTAACTGGTAAAGATTAATGCACATATCTCTTGCTAATTCTTTTCAATTACTGAGTTCATATAAATTCCCAAGCCTGGTTAATTATGCTGAAGCCAGGTCGTAATTCTGAGCCGTGTTCTGACAACAGGGAATTTTCCTGGCGTAACCTTGCCCTCCCTCCCAGGCTCTCGGCAGATTGGGCGCTCGGCCCCTAGTCCATTCATTTTCTGCTCAGGCCTAATTGCTGCCGACTGGCTGCCACAGGTACCTGGATAGCCTGTGTTCAAAGAGGCAGGGACTTCTGAGAACAAATAAGGAAAGATTAATTGTTTGTTTTGTTCCCTCCCAAGAGAAATGTGGGTGCTTAATCAAGAAAAATAATTTCTTCTGTTGATTTGGCTTATTTGGAGAAAAGATAATTGTGTAAAGGTGGGTGCCGAATGACACCTTGTAGAAGAGGTATTGCCACTTACCTGCACAGAGACACGGTAGGGGAAATGAATGTGGGATACTGACGAAATGGATGGGGGTGGCTCACATTCCTCATGGTAAGTAATCTGGCTGTTGGGCTCTTGTTTGTACCAATAGTCCTCGCTAGTATTGTCATTTGTTTTGTCTGGACCTTCGGAAATCTAATCAAGGAGACAATAGTGTAAAAAAAAATCAACAGCACTTTTCCAAATTGCTCTTAATTGCTAGAGCACAAAGTGAGCTAAATGCTGTGATGTTTCCAATTAAAGAAGCTGTTTCCACCAAGTGCTATTAAATCCATCTTTCCCAATCTGATAAATAAGCTATCAAAGAGTAGAGCAGATTAATTGAGTGCGGTTAGGCCCTGATTTCTCATAACAGCAAATGTGAACCTGCGCCATTAATGAGTCTGACACGTTTTTGGCATGGCAATGGTGTCACTTGCACCTCTGGCTGCTAGGGAAAGAAAACTCACACAGCATCCTGTTGCTTATGATTTTTAGTGTCAGGACCATTTTCTTTCCACAATTTTATGTATTTGAGAAGGATGTTTGACAGGGCTCAGAATCAGAGTTGGATCTGAGTTTGGATAGGAGGGAAACACTGAACTAAGGGGGGGTGCCTTGCCACTGTTACTGGAAGGTATAGAACAGGCAAGTACAGGGTCGTGTAGAGTGTGGGTCAGGGTTCAAACACCTGTGCAGGGTCAGTAGGAAATGGCTGTAGACTGCCACTCAGCTCAGCTGAGACACCTCTCCTTCTGTGATGTGAGAGTTGCCATAGGTGACAGTAGACAAAGCAGAGGTTCTGTGTTGTGATCTTACTGTGTTTATAAAGGTAGGCCAGGTTTGGCGGAGTTATAGTCAACAGATGGCATGGAGGCAGCTGTGCGTGTCCAGAGGTGGAGGGACCAGAATGGAGAATGTAGCCATTCCAGAGGTGCATGTATATTCAGAGCTACAGGCCTCCACACTCCATGTAAGCTACATTGTCACTTAGCTCCCCTGACCACTTGTCACCGTGGCAGAGTTGTCGCTGATGACTTGGTGGGCCAGTTACATACTTTCAGCAGCTCCTCAAACATCCTGCTACATAAAACTGTTTTTCCTCAGATCAGGGTGGCTTCTGCCATGCATGTCTTAGCCATGTTTTCTCCAAATCCCTGAATGTCCTTGTGACTCCAGGAAGTCATAGGGATTAATGCCTAATCTTAATTATCTAGCCATCAAAATTAAATTAGAACATGGTTTTTCAGGAACTGTGTGAGCATTCAGTTAAAACCATGATGCACTTAAAGCACTGTTTTGGACCTAGACAAGGCAGGACATTTAAATGGAGAGAATATTATGACTAGAACGTTCTGATGAAATCTTCTGTCCATTCATTTGCTCATGCATTAATTCAGGAATCGGCTTCTGTGAAGGATGCTTCTAGGCCTGGCCTCTCATGTACTTTCTTCCCCACCTCCAGGATGGCTGCATAATGTCACCGCTAGCCATTTTGCTTAAAATGTTTATTTTTATTTCTTGTGTGTATGGCTGTTTGCCTGTGTGTATATATGTGTGCCACATGCCCACCCGGTACCCAGAGAGGTCAGAAGACAACCTCAGATCCCTTAGAACTGGAGTTACAGACAGTTGTAAGCCACCATGTGGCTGCTGGGATCCAGGCTCCTCTGCTCTGAAGTGCTGAGATGTCTCCATCTTGTTTCACTTATAGGCAAAGGTGCAAGTGAGGCTCTAGACTTTCTTCACAGGACTGCAGAGTAGGGGCTGGCCTCACATCCTTCTGGACATGGAGAGCCGGGCTGCTGTAAGGAATTTCAAAGGAGAGAACAGGCCCTCCAGCCCACACTGCGGGAAGAGCACTGGGGTACAGGAGGCTGTGAATTAAAGTTCAATGATACAGTTTCACACTCATGTGAAATGGGCGTCCCCTTAATCCTTGCCTGAAGACATGCGACACCCCAACAATCTTAAAAACTGGGTTTAGTAAAAAACACACATTGCTAATTGTTGGGAAGCTACCCCTGTAGGGTACGGATGCTGCTCAGCCTCCTCTGGAGTCTGAAGCCCCCACCCCATCATCTGATCCAGCAGAGGAAGGGGAGAAGATAGTATGTGACTTCTGAAGTGTTGGGAGCCTCAGCACATCTTGAACATGATGCTTTGGAAAGTTGCTTTTGTTATGGCATCCTGTTGCCATAGCAATATGTGTAACCTCCTGTCTGTCTCGCTGAAACCTAGAAGTGTTACTTGGGGCCTGCTCAGAAATCGTTCATAGGAGGAATCTCATTTGGTCTTTCTCCAAAACTTTATTAAAAGCAGCATTCTCCAGTTGCTCTATAATTGTGTGACATCACGAGAGAAGAGTTTCCTGGCCGCATCTCAGCAGGTCTCTGCATTGCTGGTGAATGGAGCTGGTAGAAAAGGAAGGGGAAAAAAACGACAGTTTAGTAAGAGCAGCTGCGGGACCTACTTATCTTAGAAGAGTAATGTTGTCATAATGGCAGCTGTTAAAACCAAGTCTGTCTGAATTATGTTGAATTTCTGGTCACTCTTGAGTGCAGTGAGCAGTTCCAGCATCCTAGCACAGCAGGCACAGGACTCACAGGGTAAAAGTCAAACAGGAATGGAAGAGGCCTTTGGGTTGCTAGTAAACATCCTAAAGTGGAGCCTGCGTTGAATTCAGACAAGGTGTTACTGTGTAGGGAGGCATCTGCAGTCCTCCTTCCTCACCTCTGGAGGATGAGGGCTACAGATGTGAGCCACCAGACCCAGCTGAATGTTTTATGCATGCATCTTATGTGATACATAGTTGACGTAGTATTGCCTTCACATCAGCTGTGAGTAAATATGTATCTACTGGCTTTTACATTTGAGGAGCACTGGTCAAGGGGTGCTTAGTCCTGTATGAAATCCCTGGCTCAGCCATTCCAGTAGATCTTACATAAATGAAATAGTGTAGTGATGTGTTTTAACAAAACCAGATAGTCAGGTTCAAGAGATGACTCAGCTGTTAATACTTGGTGATGTTGCAGAGGACATAGGTTCAGTTCCCAACACCCAAATGGCAGCGTACTGCATTTGTAACTCTAGTTCTGAGGGATCCTATGCCCTCTTCTGGCTTCCCTGGGTACTGCAAGCACATGGCACCCAGGTATATACAAACACACGGGCAAAAACACTCATTCACAGAAAATGAAAATAAATAGACTCTTTTAAAAGTAGCAAAACAAGCCGGGCGTTGGTGGCGCACGCCTTTAATCCCAGCACTCGTGAGGCAGAGGCAGGTGGATCTCTGTAAGTTCGAGACCAGCCTGGATTACCAAGCGAGTTCCAGGACAGCCTCCAAAGCCACAGAGTAACCCTGTCTCAAAAAAACAAACAAACAAAAAAAAGTAGCAAAACAAGAGTCTTCCTGTACATCTTGCAATTTATTCAACTACTCTCACGTTATTATTTTAGATAACTATTGTACCATGTAGCTCTGCCAGGCTTGGAACTTTCTCTGTAGACCAGGCTGACCTTGCACTCACAGGCTTGGAACTTTCTCTGTAGACCAGGCTGACCTTGCACTCAAAGGCTTGGAACTTTCTCTGTAGACCAGGCTGGCCTTGCACTCACAGGCCCTCATGCCTCTGCCTCCTGAGTACTGGAATTAAAAGCACATGCCACCATACCCAGCCTCTGTTTTTCCTTTAGCCTTTATTTTTATTTCCTGTGCTGGGTATTGAACTTAGGTCCCACATCTTAGTTTGACGAGTGCTTTTGCAGGCAGGGTGTGAAGGTGAGCATCTGCAGCCCCGGGACTGGGAGGGCAGAGGCAGGAGGACTAGAGTCAGAACTACATGGAGAAAACCCATCTCAAAGAATAAATCCAGAGTATGACAAACCCCCTTCTGTGGATAAGAGTGGTGGGTGTTTACCTGCTGGTGGGGGACCCCTCACTTTCACACCCTGGACCCAAGTTCCCCCGAGCTACTGCAATGGAGTTAATGCTGCCCAAGAGGCTGTTACATCTAATGCACTCCTTGGCTGTGCCCTCTCCGCCTTTTCCTGTCCCCCATGACAGAACTGTGTGCTGGTTTGTTTGCTTGTTAGACGCTGTGACACTGAGGCGGCTCCTTCATCCCCTGCCCTTGCAGTGAATATAGGTGATTGTCACTGCCGCTGTTCCCAGAGAGCCCTTCTGACAACAGCTGCACAGACAGACCAGCTTTCTGGTTTTATCCTCCTATGCCTGGGCGGGGAGTTGAGATGGTTATAGTGTAGCAGTGTGATGGGTGTTGGAGAACCACCGGCCAGCTTTCCCTGCTGTTATTAGAACCACTAATTAGAAACTAGCCGTGGGCGCTTAGGACCTCACTGAGATGTTCTCCCTACTCCACAGTGGTGATTCGGCTCCTTCCCGCCTAGGCTGCCTCCCCTGCCCTGGGCTTGCTTATCTCAGAGGTTCCTGCTGGCTGTCTCATCACTTCCTTGTTGACAAGCTCCACGGTGGGCTGTTTTGGAAAAATATGGACCCTTATTAAATCCCTTTATGAGACCATTATTTTCACTTAAAACAGTCCCGTCCCCGTGTCCCGGGAGCTGTTGTGGCCAGTCCAGAGTACGTTCTGGCTTGTCGTCCCCGTATCCATCCCTGATGATTAGCACCTTGTTCCTTTCCGGGATCTTCCTGGTAGTTTCTCTCTTGACTCTGGCCACTCTGGGTCATGCGCACAGTCTGAACTCCTAACCTCTTTCAACTATAAATCTAGGGACATCATCTACCTGCCGGAACACCTGAGTGGCTCCTTGTCAAGTGCCAATCTGAGATGTCCTTGGGCCACATGTTCCGAACGCCAGTGCCGTTCTTGTGTGATCCCACGTCAGCCCACTGCCTTGCCATCCGTTGGCCAGCGTGTTTGTCACGCTGTGCCTGTCCACACCTTCTGCTCATGAGAGCATCCCCTGGAGACCCATCTCTTTCGTGGGGTCCTTCTGTAGTCTTCCCATTCAGACGTGATAGCCTTAAATTCTAGCGCACTTTAATTTTACTGTCATATTTTACCTTCTGTTAGCATTCTTAGAGTATTGATCTTATTTTCCACACATCCTGTGTGCCATCCATGTAGGCTCCTTCCAGTGTCCTATAACCTTAGCTCTCCCCCTCATGTGCTGACCTAGCAAAATTGCCAGGTAGTTGGGCTTCGTGTACTTACTTTTAGATTTAATTAGTTTGTGTGAGTGTTTTGTCTGCATGTACATATATGTACCTCTTCTGTGACCTTCGGAGGTCAGAAGGCGACGTTGAATCCCTGGCTACTAGAGTTACAGAGGTTTGTGAGCCATCACATGGGTGTTAGAAGCCTTCATTTGGTTTCAGCAAGAACATCACATGCTCTTAACTGCCGAATCAACTCTCTAGCCCCAACACATGATTTTTTAGAATTCTCTGTAGCCAAAAGAAATCAAAGTTATCACAGATTTAAATCAGCCATCTGACAAATCGTCTGAAAAATCTATTTACAGTAAATATGACAGAGTTCTGACTCCCAGGATAAAAAGAGCTTTTATAATCGCTTGGAGAAAATTGGAAAATTCATTTATTCAAAAAGTAATTATGAATGGAGCCAGTGAGATGACACTTGCCACCAACCTGGCAGCCAGAGTGTGATCTGCACAACCCACACACAGACGGAAGAAGCGACTGATGTCACAGAATTACCTTGTACCACGTACATACTGTGGTACCTATGCCCCCCCACATGTTCTACATACACACAATGACAATTGTTTAATCTTTAAAAATTACAAATGTTCCATAAATCAGGAAAAATTAATTTTATAGTTAACCAGAATGTGGCCAGCCAAGACAACACTTTTACATCTACAAAAGTTGAAAGAAAACATCTGTGTTCATTGTTGGTAAGGCTATGAAGAAATAACCATTCCCATAAGCCTTCAGGGATGCAAATTGCAAGAATCTTTTGGGAAGGAATTTGGCAATTCCCTCTATGAATCTATCAGACAATTATTCTTACATGATTTGGTTTCATGGTATGTGAAGCCTTTTCATTATAATGTATTGTTTAAAAAATTGTTCAGTGAGAAGGGAGTTGGTTAAAAATCTCTATCCAGTGAAAACCTTAATAAAATATTCCATAGAAATTCACAAGATTACTGTAAATCTGTGTGTTCTGCCCTATGGACTGATTGAGAAAGAAACATGGAAGTTCTTCAGAGACAAGCTTACAGCTATAATGCTCTGTCTGGTGATGGGTGGTATTTACATTTCACCCTCAGGAAGACTAGAATTCAGGAAGATCAAGAAAGTCAGTCAAAACCGTAGAACATAGATTCTAGCAAAATCTTCTAATAGTTAGAGTTTTTAAAGTATGAATTCTGTATTTCTTTCAAAACCACAGCTTCTTACTGCTACTTTTTTCTTCTGGGTGAGACAAGTTGGGTGAGGTTAGCAATCCCGTGTTACCGTGTTATTGCAACCGAGTAAGGAGCTGGCTCTCGGGCTCAGGATGGAATCCCCTCCCCCAGAGCAAGGCCGTTTGGTTTTCCCTGGCACACAAGGATGCTGAGTATCCCTGGTCGAGTCCTGCCCACCCTTTATACCAGTAATTGCATTGTTCCATGTCTTTATCAAGGACTCCTTCGCCAATAGGTTTGGGGAGGGACAAGTGTCAGGGAGGAGAAGGCACAGTGAAGTCCCTGTGATTGAGCGAAGATTGCACTGCTCAGGTCACTCCACAAAAACTTGTCAGTTTGCTGCCCAAATAAATGCCTAGGGGGCATAAGACACAGAGCACAGTGACCCCGGGAAGAAAAATCAATTGCAATTCATATTTCATCCGTCTATAACTGCTCTGGAAGGCATGGCTCCAGTTTGTTTATAGGCTTCCCCCTTCTTCCCCCCCCTCGTCTCCCTCTCTCTCTCTGCTTCCTTCTGCTGACTGTGACTCGTGGGCTCTGCTTTACAGTGAGGCAGATGTTGGACTTTTTCCCTTACCCACATCACCATGTTTATTACCCATGCCCTGCACTAGATTTGATCAGTGCACCAAACTGTAGACAGGCATAGACATAGTTTACTTTGCTTTGAGATTCTTGCAGGCTTGGGGCCTGTGTTCTGCTGTTTCACTAGAAGTGAGGCGAATGTGTGCAGGTGCCCGTTCTTCACACTGTTACTCAGGAAGGTTTTCCTCATCAACTGGGGATTTTTATCCATGGTCTTAAAAGCTTTTTAAATCAGGATAACGGCCCCTTAACACTACTAAGTTTGAGAACCATCTAGTGTACCTTCCTTCGACTTTCTTGCTCCAGCCCCCACCCTGCCCCCACCTACACTCTCTCGGGCGAGGCCGCTCTTGGATTCGCAGCCCCGCTGTGGACTGAGATGTCATAGGGACAGAGAAAATGC